TACTATATTTTACAAGGAATTTTTCAGTAAAATGCTAGTGTGAATATATGAGTTCATTTTTCCTGTCAGCCACAAAGTTTAATTTCTACTAATGTAAACATTTCAGTACATTCATAAATCAAGGCATTTGTAGGTTGGTTGAAGGGGATTATTTAATCAATAGGAGGGATTTATTTTTAATATCTGTGGGTCTTCTTTTGCTACCATAATAGATCAGTAAAAGGAAATTATTACATTTTTTTCTTGAGAAATATTATAGTATCTTATCTTTCCTGTATTTATCATTATGCCTCAAATTGCCCAACTCTGGCCCAGAAATTGAATATCTAATTCCAGAACATACTTGGATATTTTGTGATCATTTTAATTGATAGGAAAATACTATTTTATCTTGGAGTTATAATTATCTCAAAGAGCAAGTTACATTGATGTATCAGTAAGGCACAAATTAATTTCAGCCTAGTCAATGAATAAAATAATAGATAACTTGGCCAACCCTCCCCACCCACTAAAATGAATATAATAATAGATAATTCTGCCAAAATGCAGCTAATCAGTCAACTAGAATGACTTACCAGTTGGCATCCCTACTAATATCTATTCTGAATTTTCTCATCAGCAATAGTGGTCCTGTTCATCACTTTAAAACGCAGCAAAAAGGAGCCTCTGGTAATTTCAGAGGAGGATGTCCGGGAAAATGTTGTCACTTATGATGATGAGGGTGGAGGTGAGGAGGATACAGAAGCTTTTGACATTACTGCTCTGCGGAACCCATCTGCTGCTGAAGAATTGAAATTCCGGAGGGATATTCGGCCTGAAGTGAAGCCTGCAACCAAACATCCCACTTCATCTCATCTTGACAACATAGATGTTCATGAATTTATTAAGCAAAGGCTGGCTGAAGCAGACCTTGATCCGAGTGTGCCCCCATATGATTCTCTACAGACATATGCATATGAAGGTCAAAGGTCAGAAGCTGGATCTATCAGCTCTTTGGATTCAGCAACAACACATTCTGACCAGGATTATAATTATCTTGGTGACTGGGGACCAGAGTTCAAGAAGCTAGCCGAACTTTATGGAGAAATAGAATCTGAAAGAACAACTTAATTATCTTGATCATTCCCCAAATATGGAACATTTTAGATCTCTGAGCAACTTGGAATGGCTGAATACTGATATACTCAAGATGTACACAGTTGCTGTAGAAAAAAGTGCCCTTTTCTCATTTGAAATGGGGTTCTTCAATTGAAGAAAGTCAAATTTTGAGGAAAAAAGTACCCTTCCATCCCCAAGAAAAGTTTGTCCCTTTGTGTATATTTTTCGTTGCTCAATAAAGTCCGTAGTGCAGTAATAGTAACAATATTTTAAGTAAACAAAGCAATGCCAACATGCTTACAATTTCCTCAAATATATCAGAATTGCAGTGGGTCTATAGAGGGCCTACTTACAGGAAGAACTAATTCTGTTTGGTTGGTTGTGGCATTACATAATTAGCTCTGTTTGTAAGCTTAGAGCTATTGGGTAATTAAATGGGAGCATAGTAAATTTCTCCTGTTTTATTCAATCCAAGGTATTTTATTTCTTTCATAAGGGGACACTAGAATTATCTAGTCAGGTGACAGATAACATTCAAAATTAATAATATTCAACTGATTTCTTTAAAAAAAAAACAACCTGACTACTGTTGGTGAATGCAACATTTCTACAAGCCACCTTCAATTTTTCTGTCCTGAAAAGGTAATGATGCAAGCATTAAATTGCTACTTATTTAAATTTATAATCTTCCCCTCTCTTAAACATTTCTGCCTGATAACATGCTTCCATTTTGTAGTTATTTTGTCTTTTTTTAAAGCCAGATATTTTTTTCTTTCTTTTAAGGGAACAGCTTTTAGTTTCCTTCTGCAATGGAAATGAATAGGATTTCTTTTGTTTACAGAAAATGTATTACATGTTAAGCTGTGCAATAGCTTATACTGTCTTATTTTTATTTGGATTTTCCAAAAAATATAGATGAGAAATCTCTCATCAATTATGTCCTGATGTAAGTAAACATGATTTGATATAATGGGATTTCCATATATTTTGACATAGGAACAGAGTAATTTTTTTCAAATTGCTCTTTTCAGGATGCTATAATCTTTAATTCAAATGATCCTAGACAGGGTAGGGGTTGATGGGGATTTTACTCTGAAAAATGTAAAGTGGGAAAGACTGGTATAGTTTATTATCTAAATAGATGGAATTATCAGAAATGATCTGAAAGCACATTCTGTAAATCTTATTGCTAAGTTGGTCAACTCAATGTAATGCATCAATGCAGTAGCAACAATATAAGATATTCATATTATGTCATTGCAAAGTGGAGCTATAAAAAGATATCTAAACAATATCTGGAATCCTCCCATTACCAGTATTTGCTGAAATGACAAACAGCAATCTTTATGTTCAATCATCTTGATCAGATGTTTGGAAATGGGAATAACAAGGAAGATAGTGTTGAATGTGACATATTTTCCTTATCTACTTCCTCCTCTTTAGTGGTGTGCATTGCCCCACTTCAATTATATCCTTCAGATTCAATCTAGTCCATTTGACTTTTCCATATAGAAAAGGAACAGACTTCACCTTAGTCAGAAATATATTGGTTAGACCTATCCTATATTATAGATTTCTTCAAGATCTAATCTACCCAGAATAAAGAAATAATTTCTGTATACCAGAGGCAAAACATTGCAGTTGTTTGAATGAACACATAATTTTCAACATCTGTCACTGAATTAAAATAGATACATCAGGAGAGATAGTATCAATATTTTCATTACTGTAGTACATCCTATAGTAGTGTTTCCCAAATTTCTCATAATTAAAACTTAGCTTTTTCCCCCCTCATAGTTGAAAATTTCTCAAAGTGACTAATTTTACAGTGAATAACATTTAGCTTGAGGGAGACATAACCAGAATAGTAGGATTATTCAGAAACATACAAAAAAAAATTCTCATGAGTAGGTTTTTGGCTTATATAAGCCTTGAATCCTATTGAATTATTACAGTAGCTGCACAGTTTACCATAGCAGTCCCCCTTCTTCTACCTTGGGTGGGATGTGGTAGTTCCTCTGCTTCCTATGTTCTCTAACTGCTCTACAATGTGATGATAGCTCTAGGATGACATAGCTTATTTTTCTATTTTTTTCTGGATAAGGAGGGAGTAACTGTGTCTTAAATCTTGTGATTCCAAGAGTTCCTTGAGTTTGCTTTGTAATGTTCCTTTCCTCAATTCCGTTTTTAGAAACCCACTAGCTGCTTAGGTCTCTGACAGCAGATTGTCTTTTCTGACACTGAAAGGGAGGTATGCAGTCCTTCAGATATCCTGCTATAATTTAGAGAATTAGGCTACATTAACTTTCTCACAGAAAATTAAAGTAGCAATTTCTCAATATAGCTTTTTAGTTATTCAGTTAGTTACTAATATTTGCACTTTAACAGTTACTTTTTGATGATGTAATCAAGTAAAAATAAACCTCTAATATAAATACACTTCTATATATAGAAGTTATGGCTGGGTAGAATATAATACAATAAATAAGCAGGATGGAGCTGTGCAGGTCAGCCTCACCCTGAATTTTTATTTACATTTCGAAAAAGTTGGATTTTGACATTATCCATGGAGATGATGAGGCTCCATCTTGAATCTGTGAGTCCCTGGGAAGTGGATAGGGCCCTTTGTAGTCTAAGTTCTACTCTCCATTGGGTTTTTTTTTATTCTCATAGTCATCAAGATGACTACTGAGGTGACTGGAGATTAGATTCAAATGGGTGTCAATGTTTCATTGGATAAGGAGGCATTTCCTTTTTCTCTGAAGGAAGCTATGTTATATCTCTCGCTCAAGAAGTCTTCACTTGATCCAACAATCCTAGATACTGTTAGATATGCTCTTGATTACTTTTGCAGAGAGAAAAATTGGGAGAGTACAACCATCCTGGTCCTCCTTGATCTCCTGGTAGTTTTGAAAACTACCATCCAGGCCATCATTCTGGATCACCTTCAAGGGACTTGAGTGAAGAATATTATTTAAAGTGGTTCTCCTCCTTACTGAGGGGCCAATTCCAGTTGGTTGTGGTGTGAAAAGAGATTTACCTGGAGATCTCGATTTTGTGGTATGCCTCAGGGATTCTGTGCCCATTTATTTCAACATCTACATGAAATCACTGGGATAAATCATTGATCAGCCCTGGTTTATATGTATTTGGAGTTGGGAGGGAGATTCATGCTTAGCTATCTAAATCAGGGGTTCTCAACCTTGGCAACTTTAAGACTTGTGGACTTCAATTCCCAGAATTCCTCAGCCAGCAAAGCTGGCTGAGGAATTCTGGGAGTTGAAGTCCACAAGTCTTAAAGTTGCCAAGGTTGAGAACCCCTGATCTAAAGCCTTCAGGAATGGGCAACATGCAAGAATAGTAATTGAATAAATATATACAGTACATAAATAAGAAATAAAAAAATAAGGGAGGTATCATGCTTTAGCAATATTCTGAATTCTCAGAAAGGGTTCATCTTGTACTTTCCTGTATTCTGTTTAGTGCAGGGAAATTGAGGATGGCGGTAGCAGGACCTGTACATATTAAGTTGCTGTAGGTGAGACATGAGGCCCATCTCTTTTATTTGCCTCTAAATAAGGCCTGGGTAGAAATTAGGAATTATTCCAAACATAAATAGCTAAAGAAAGGCATCTTATTATGAAAGCTGAGGATGTACCATTCAGCTTACTAGCAGAGTGTTTATAAAGGTTCATCAGTGAGATGATGTGTTCATCAGTGTACTCAAAAACATAGCACTGAATTTTCTAACTTTTATACAGTAAACTCTATAGCCCCAGTTATAGAGCTTATATATTTTATATAATATAGCTTATATAGTTACAAATATAATCAGTATATTTGATAGATAAGGATCAAGGTGAAACCAATTTAATTTGGCTTAAGTTCTGACAAAATAGACTTAAGCCCATGGCATCAAGAACCAATGCTGGATAAAAGAATGAGTGTTTTATTGAGATGATGATCAGCAAACAGAATTTAAGCATCTGATGTGAACAGGTTATGGATGAGAAACAATTATTGTTCTTGGCGAACTTGAGGGAAAGGCTATGAATAGGTAGATAAAGGCCACAGGTAAGCTAGATAGATAACATCAAAGAGAATATAGGAATGTTTGGGAAAGGTTACAAGAAATTACTAGAGATACATTAAAATAATGTGCATTTGCCAGTGCAATCACTGGAGGTTGAACCTGACTCAGTGATACCTAACACATAAGGTAAGATAGCTGTTATTGTCATTCTCATGTATACATAATGGCACACATTAAAATGAGATTTTGATGCACCGGTCTTGTAAAAAAGAATGCCACCCCCAAACATTATCACCATTTCAAGGATAACAATAATAATATAATAACAGCAGCAGCATCCCAAAATGCTTCATACTGCTAAAGCCATGTTCAAAGCAGCCTTAAACACTAAGTCATACAAAATCATGAATATGCAGTATACACATGTAAGTTAGGAATAAAGGTCAGAAATAGCTAGGAAGGAACAGGAAGCCAAATTCAAAGGTAGAATTTACAAACTGGATGTACTAGCTCCAACCAGATTATACCTCATTAATTTCAGTAGGATTTCATTACTTTTTTTAAAAAAAATGTGGCCAACGAATTTTACAATATCCCATTTACAACTAAGAAGATTGTAAGCTCTGATTAAGGGTATTATTTAGAATAGCATCATAATGGATATAAGGTAAAATTGAAGACACTGTCCAAAATACAAAATTATGTTCTGATTTGTCTGTCAAAATTGGTCACTACTGTTGTGTTATAGAGTTCAATTGTGATATTGCTATCTTAAAAAGGTATATTTTTTTTGATAGATTTGAAGCCATCACTCGTGTAATTTTGAATATATAGAAACCTTCCATGCACACATGACAGTTATGCAATTCATAAGTGCGGTCTGTTTTTCAAAACGTTGTGATATATGAGTGGTTGAAAGGACAGATTCTACTATACATAATGGTTTTGGATTGCCATATAAAATAATAATAGTCATAATGCTGAGAATCATATCAAACAATTGTAAAAACATATTTTTGCTACAGTTGATTCATATTTGTATTGTTTGGAAATACATTTTATGAGGGAACAAAACTCCCATTTATAATATACATTTAACAATT